GAGGCAAGCCAAGAAGTTCAAAGGCTGCTGCTACTGTCCCGCACCCTACAACTAAGGCAGGGGTATCCCTTAGAGAGATGGCACCACATCCCCACCCCTGGCTCCAGGGACCTGGCTCAGATAGTTTGCCCAGAGGGAGAACCAGCTCTGAAGGGACAGTGTGGGGACATTCTCAAAAAACGATGGAGGTTTTGGTGGTAAGCAAAGGAGGAGGCTGGTGACTTCATGAGAGGTACAAGGCAAACTACAGACCAGTTAGTTTAAAAGAAAGAACCGGAGACAGAGGGAGCTAAGAAATGACTGGTGGCATCAGAATAAACCGCAAACTCTGAGCTCAAAAAATACCTCTGTAAAGACGTCCAAACTTAATTAGGTCAGAACGGTGTGATCGGGGAAAGAGACGGTAAAAGAGAGCCTTGTCACAAATTACTGTCGCTTCAGGGTGACTGTGTGCATGCCTAAGACTGTGGCCCTTGAGGAGTGAATTAGTAAACTTAAAGATAGATCAATAGGAATTTGCAACCCAAAGAACAGAGAGAGAAAAATGAATAAAAATGAACAGAACCTCAGAGAAATACGGGACCCCATTAAGAGCACCAACGCACATGTAAGGAGAAACCAGAGGAAGAGAGAGACACGAAGGGGTACAAAAAATATTCAAAGAAATGACAGTTGAAAACGTTCCAAATTTGATTTAAAAAATTAATTTACGCATCCAAGAAGATCAGTACATTTCAAATAAGATTCACGCAGGCATCCATACACAAACACATAGTAAACAGTAAACAGTAAAATGCTGAGAGGCAAAGCAACAAGAAAAAACCACTTCTCATGTACAAGGCAGCTTCAATAAGAGCTGACTTCTCATCAAATACAATTAAGACCAGAAGGCAGTGAAGTAATAGAATAAAAGCGCTAAAAGAAAAAACATGGTCAATCAACAATCCTATTTCTGGCAAAACTATCTTTCAGAAAATGAAGACAAAAGGCTCCACAGGTTAAACCCAAACCCAGAACTTGCTGCTAGCAGAAAACTTACAAGAAATACCAAAGGAAGTTCTTTCAACTGAATGCAAGTGACCCCAGGTAGTAATTAGAATCCACACACATAAAAATAAAGCATGACAAAGGTAAATCTGTAATTATAATAGATTGTATAAATGCATATTTTTTTCTCCTGCTATCTCTTAACTTACTTTGAAAGCATCTGTATAAAACAATAAATATATAATTGCATCACACATAGGGATAAATATATAAGTGGATAACACATAGGGATGTGACATATTTGTCAATAACAGTGCAAAAGAGATAGGCAGGAATAAAGCTGTTTTGGAGTAAGACAATCACACCAAACAGCCTCTTGAATCTGAGAACTAAATGAAGAGAAACAGAAAGGGTAAATAAGTTTAATATAACAAGTACTATAAAAATATATATGTATACATATATATTATACATATTCTTCATTCTTCTCCCAGCCTCTTTCAAAATTATATAGTGTAATAACTGTAACAATGTATTTGAGTTTCTAGCTATATAGATATAATATGTGTAATAATAGCAGTAAAGTGGGGAGGACTCAGAGCTATATAGGAGCAATGTTCTATATCTAACTGGCATCATTAGGTATAAATCTGAAGTCAATTCTAAATGAAGATGTATATGGTAAGCCCTAGAGCATCCACTAAAAAAAAAAAAAAAGGAAAAAAAAAAAATCAATGAAGGATTTAAAATGTTATATTAGAAAATATTCACTAATGCAAAAGTAATATAGCTATAATTAATATGTTAAACGATGTAGTGGAAAGGTGGACAACATGCATAAACCAGAGAGGAATTTCAGCAAAGAAATAAAAACCGTAAGAAAGAATCAAATAAAAATATTATAAATGGAAAAAATATTGTATGAGAGATGAAGAATTCCTTTCATGGCTCATCAGTAGACCCAATACAGCTGAAGAAAGAGTCAACAAACTTGAAAACTGGCCATAGTATAGGCACAGTTCGTGTTTACTAATTTTAGTACAACCTAATTATTTGGGCCATAATATTTTATATTCCCTTCAGAAATAAATAAAATCTCCTCTTCTCTTGCATTCATGCCAACACTTAGTATTCCCAGAGTTTTACTTCTTTCTACTCTGATGAATGTGATATTGTTGATGGCTGAGTAATCTTTGGCAAGTCACTTAAACTCTCTGAGCCTCTCTTTCCTTTTCTGTTAAATGAACATAATACAACTTACCTCACAGGTTATTGCCAGGATTGAATAAAAATAAAGAGAAATTACAAGATACTTAAATATACAGTCAATAATTGTCCCCTTCCATCTATATGCTCCCAAAGGATTTAGCCAAGTTTTTTTATATGCAGTAGGTAGGTATTCAATACATAAAAGCCAATCAAATAATATAAAAGTTATGTTCAGTGTCTACTGAAAAAAGTTGCTCATGTTCATGGAACAAAATAACAGAGAAGTTAAAAATCAAACTTTGGAGTCAAAGGGATCTGAGCCAAATTGTATTCTGTTCAGTTTTGAGAATTATTATCAATATTAATAAGACATGGGGATATTTTAATTAGGCACAAGGAAAATAAATATATGTGGTGGTATACAGAAGGCATAGAAGTTTTAATTACATACCACTCCCTTCTTCTTTCTTGTCTTCTAATAAGAAACATTAGTATAAAACAGAAAATTTAACATTTTAGCTTTCATGATATACACTGATACTTATGCCTCATTAAATATAGATATAGAGAAATACCTGTTGGAAATAAAACAGAAAAAGTAAGTGTCTTATCAGAGATATGTTCTGCATATTACCTGGGTAAGCATTTTACTTTTACCAACTAATTTTTACAGAGAAACTATTAAATTTTTTCTTCTAGAAGTAGTATTGTCTCTAGTTTTGTTTTTGTTATTATTATGACCATATAACACAGTGTATGCTAACAGAGGCCGATGTTTAAATTAAGTAAAGATTGCAACACATTCAATCTGACGTGCCTCAAATTATACATAAGACTTATTTTTTACAGCATGCTAATTACATATAACTAAAGAGTTTAGATAAAAGCCTATAATTAGTATTTGTTTTTAAATATCTGATTATATATGTCTGTGCTCAGTTGTGAGGAGTAGAGAAAAAAATAAAGAAGTTATTAATGCTTCATGTGTGTATATAGTAGAGGGTGTGTGCGTGTGTGAGGATTTTGTTTTATTTTTGTATAGGAGACACCTGCAGCTGGGGAAACTAGAGCCCCCAATGGACAGACATATCTGTCTACCAGCACCCAGTGTGAAGATTAAGTGGGCATTCTGGTTGAGTATAAGCTTGGATTGCAGGGCAGGGGCAAAGTGATAGTGTTATTAACTAAATGTTTGTGTCCTGCTTCAAAGTCCGTATGTTGAAGCCCTGAACCCCAGTGCAGCGGTATTTGGTGATGAAACCTCTAAGAAAGTAATTAAGGTTAAATGAGGTCATAAGAGTGGGGCTCTGATTGGATAAGATTGGTGTCCCTATAAGAAAAAATACCAGAGCTGGATCTCTCTCCCAATATGCACACACCAAGGAAAGGCCACAAGAGAACATAGAGAGAAGGTGGTCACCTACAAGCCACAAAGAGAGCCCTCACAAGAAACTGAATTGGCCAGAACCTTGATCTTGAACTTCCCAGACTTCAGGACTGTGATAAATAAATTTTTGTTGTTTAACCAACCCAGTCTATGGGGTTTTGTTATGGCAGCCCAAGCAGACTAATACAGATAGTAACCTTCCTTCGTTGAGAATCAAAGACCAAATAGAAACATCTGGGCTTTGACACAAGCGATGTTTGATGGCCCATTGGTAGACCCTTGGCCTGAGTCTTCCTTCTGCTCATATCCTAAACTCAGCTAAAGGAATTTCCCACTCTCCTTAGATTTATCTGAGAAATACAACTAGGGCATTCAGAGGGGTGGTTTGGAACACTGCATCACTGGAGGTACAGGAGAGGAATGGAAATGTTGATGAAGGAGGAGAAGGGGGACAGGAATGTGTTAGGAGTGGGAGGTCAGAGCCTTGACTCATGGTGAAATGAGGGGAAGGGGGAAAAAAAAGAGAGAAATGTGAGAACTGGAGAACAAAGGGAGAGAGGAAAAAAGAACAGGAAAGTTGTTGGACGGGCAAAGGGCAAGAAAGTCAGGGAGATGAGAGGCATGGGTAATGACATGTTGAAGAACCAAAGAAACGATATACGAGGGCAGTGAGCCTCTCTCCTTTGGGCCTATCTCCATACATGCCACAAAGAGGAAAGGTGTCAGCAATATGCTGAAGTGTAACAAATGGAACCCCACCCCCGTTCTTATTCCCAAATATTTTCTTCTTTATAGCACCAAGATTTTCAGGATGAGAAGCATTCCAATCTCCACATCACTACTCTAGACTGGTGCTGTGGCAAAGGGTATAAAACACTATATTTACTTGGCAGCAGCAATGGGGCCAGGATGATAAAATACACAACCATGGGGATATTCAAAATGCATATGGCCATCTTGTCAAGAAACTGCATAAAAATATAGAACAAGACCTAGCAGCCGTTGATGAAGAACGAAGTGAGTCTCTCTCCCTTTGTACCCTGATTATGCCATCTTTCATCTCACTTCCCTCCTCGCTTCCTACTTCCCCCAGGTAACCTATTTGCAGAAATGAATTATAAGCAAATTAATTGGGCTAATAGAACTCTCCACAAAGGTATGTATATGCTTTCTCTAGTTCCTCCCACACCACAAGGAGTTCATCAGTGGAAGAAAGGAGAAACTGAGGTTATGAGATTCTAGTGGGCTGAGCGTGGGTTTCATTGTTGCCTGTCTTGTCAGCTTCTATGACATGGTCAGGAGTGGCGCACAATGTTTAATTTTTGTAACGATGGTAATGTTACTAGAGGACTTAGATTTTCCTAAATTAACTAAATAATCCACAGTAGGGATCATACCACCTAAAACTGACTAAGAGTTAATCCTTGACAAGTTGACAGCAGCCTTTCACACTATCTCTAAGGGCCTCTTTGACTTTGTCATTCCGGAGGGTGAAGATGAAAGGGCTCAGGAAAGGGGTCACCACAGAGATCAGCAGGGAAACTATCTTGTTGTACTCGGCCGCCTGCGTCTGATTGGGCTTCACGTAGAGGAAGAGGCAGGTGCCATAGCCCAGCACCACAAAGGTGAAGTGGGAGGCACACGTGGAGAAGGCTTTCCTCCGGCCAGAGGCCGAGGGGATCTTGAGGATGGTGGAGATGATGCAGGTGTAAGAGACAACTGTGGGGATCAGAGAACCGACGATAATGAAAACGGCCATTAAAAAAAGAATAAACTCCGTGAAAAGGCTGTCATCACAGGCTAGTTTGAGCAGCTGCCCTCGGTCACAATAAAAATGGTCTATCAGGTTTGATTTGCAGAAGGTGAGCTGAAACGTGGCATAGACCGGCCAGATTTCAGAAAGGAACCCAAACAGCCACGACACAACTACCACCCAGAGGCAGGTGTGGCTGTTCATAATGACGTGGTACCTCAGCGGGTGACAGACAGCCACGTAACGGTCCACGGCCATCGCTCCCAGCAATGCAAACTCTGTGGTCCCCACAGCAAGGTACAGGAAGAGCTGGGCGACACATCCAGCCAGAGATATTCTCTGCACCCCAGGGAGCAGCAAGCCCCAGAGCATGACAGGGATGATGATGGATGTGGTCAGGATCTCCAAGGCAGAGAGGTGACTGAGGAAGAAGTACATGGGGGACCGCAGACGTTTATCAACACAGACAATCGCGATGATGACCGTGTTTCCCATTAATGTCACTGAGTAGAGGAAGATGAAGGTAGCAAACAGGAGATGGTGCAGCTCCTCGGACCCAGGGAAGCCAAGGAGACAGAATTCAGCAGCATTGGAGCGATTGCTCACCATTCAGTCCTTGTTTCTGCTCCTTGTGAAACACAGAAATCAAAAGAGAGGCAACGCTGCTCCACACGATCCTGCTCACAGGAGAAGGAAGACAGGTGAGGGTGAGAAACTGATGACCAGGGGAGCTGCTTGTCCTGCTACGCTCTGCACAGACAGGCCTAAATTCAAAAACAGGCCTCTTCAACCTAGCTCAAGGCTCGCTGTCGGGAACGGGTGAAGACAGCTTCTTCTCTGCTGGCGTGAGAAACCCTTGTCTTTCCCCCACTGGATGTGTCTTCTCCAGGAAACAGAGGCTACGACATTCTAAACTGTTGGGTTTCGAAGCTGAGTCAGTCAGCCCCTAAGGGTGCTGGGACTTCCCATGTCCTCTTAGGTCAACTGTATCAGACGATATGATGGCATTCCATGTGATGTTCAAGGCAAGGAACCTTGAACCCCAGGCCTCATCCACACTGGTACTACGTGGATCCACCCTGGGGCAGCAGAAAAGAGACAGGGGGTCCAAGAAAACATCTCTGCTTTTCCCCACAGAGGTCTTATAACCTCCATTTTACAGAGCAACAAGATCTCCAAGTGGGAACTCGGGAGCTTGGGATAATTTCCCAGAGCTGNCAAGGCAGAGAGGTGACTGAGGAAGAAGTACATGGGGGACCGCAGACGTTTATCAACACAGACAATCGCGATGATGACCGTGTTTCCCATTAATGTCACTGAGTAGAGGAAGATGAAGGTAGCAAACAGGAGATGGTGCAGCTCCTCGGACCCAGGGAAGCCAAGGAGACAGAATTCAGCAGCATTGGAGCGATTGCTCACCATTCAGTCCTTGTTTCTGCTCCTTGTGAAACACAGAAATCAAAAGAGAGGCAACGCTGCTCCACACGATCCTGCTCACAGGAGAAGGAAGACAGGTGAGGGTGAGAAACTGATGACCAGGGGAGCTGCTTGTCCTGCTACGCTCTGCACAGACAGGCCTAAATTCAAAAACAGGCCTCTTCAACCTAGCTCAAGGCTCGCTGTCGGGAACGGGTGAAGACAGCTTCTTCTCTGCTGGCGTGAGAAACCCTTGTCTTTCCCCCACTGGATGTGTCTTCTCCAGGAAACAGAGGCTACGACATTCTAAACTGTTGGGTTTCGAAGCTGAGTCAGTCAGCCCCTAAGGGTGCTGGGACTTCCCATGTCCTCTTAGGTCAACTGTATCAGACGATATGATGGCATTCCATGTGATGTTCAAGGCAAGGAACCTTGAACCCCAGGCCTCATCCACACTGGTACTACGTGGATCCACCCTGGGGCAGCAGAAAAGAGACAGGGGGTCCAAGAAAACATCTCTGCTTTTCCCCACAGAGGTCTTATAACCTCCATTTTACAGAGCAACAAGATCTCCAAGTGGGAACTCGGGAGCTTGGGATAATTTCCCAGAGCTGATTCATTCTCCTCTTGTTCCATTTTCTTTCCAAAGCCTTGGGAGGGAGGAGAGATGGCACCTGGCACTGACAAAAATAGATCTCTACCCCTCACTTCATCCAGCCCGTTACTCAAATGTCACCTCCTCAGAGGACTCTTTCCAATTCCCCTGCCCAAAATAGGAAGGAATGAACAACCCTGGACTCTAGTTTTCCTCATAGCACTTATTCCCTGATATTATGTTATATATTTAAATTGTTTAGTTCATTCCTTCACTTCATGTGAAACAAATGCAGCAGTGAACAGAACAAAGATCTCTGCCCTGTGGAGCCTCTGTCCAGGTAAGGGGTAAAGGGTACGCCATACACAAAATAAGTAAGTAAAAGTTATATATAAGATGTTAGCTTATGGATCATGCCATAGGAAAAATATGGAAATTTTATTTTTCTTTATTTATTCTTCATCTATGACATTAAGGGCAAAGACATATCATATATATACATGTATATATATATATATATATATATATATATACACACATATATATATATATATATACACATATATATATATATATATATATATATATATATATACACATGTATATATGTGTAATGTTCTTGAGCCAAGTAAGCAGTGCTGAAATTTTCTTGTAGATGGTGGCTATATGGACATATGATATATGACTGAATAGGTCTTGGTCCTGGCCAAGGCTAACTAGGCCATATCCCCTCGATCCCTCTTTCCTTGGCCCCCCTTCCTGCCTCACATCACCATCTTCCCTTCCTCCCTTCCCTTCCTAATGCAACCTCCCCAACATCACTGTGGCTCTTTCACTGATGGGCAAGCATGCGTCAAGGACAGAACTGTTGGAAGAGCTCAGCGGCCAGCTTTTCCACAATCTCTGCATGACCAGCATGAGATGAAGAAAGATGAGAGAGAAGGATCCCGACTGGAGTCAGGGAGCTGTGTCTACCCCTAGCATCGGCTCAGAGAAGAGCTGAATCTACCTGCTCCCTGCTGTGCACAGGGGACTTGGAAATGCACTTATCTGCCCTGCTGCTCCCCCAGCCCACTCTTCAGGCTCCTGGTGCTCCTGTGTTAGACAGAAGCCAGAGCCGGAACATCCCACCTTAATCTTTCCTCCAGAAGCCTGAGGAGTCACTCACCTCTATGGAAGGGCTTCCCCACCACTTCTAATGCTCTCCAGGGCTTGGCCAAGGTGACCTCCTGCCTGGCTACTGCTGAGCCGTGCACAGGGGCCAGAGCAACTCGCTGCTCTCTCCACTCATGATGAAAAAGGAAACTGTCCTCAGGGAAGAGCTTAGGAAAAAGCCCAAAATAACAGTGTTGTGGGGAGCTGAGGGTCTCTGTCTCTCTCCCTCTCCTTCCCTCCCACTCCCCTCCTTCCCAAGGGGACTTAGTGACTGAGATACCTGTTCTTAATTAGCCCAGGTTCATGGTGTCCCTAAGCAATCGGTCTAGGGAGAGCAGAACAAACTTTTAGTTATGCCCATTTTGGCCAATTAAGTTTCAGAACTTTCTAAAGTTTTTGTTTAATAGGAAAACACGAAATCTCACCAATCAGAGGCTTCTCGATACCAAGGCTGCCTTCTCCAAGGACCCATGTCTAGGTTTCCAGAAGATATCTCAAAAAACTCTAAGGAGAGCATCCCTTCTGCCCTTCACCCAAGGCTCCCCCAGGATTCTCTTAGCTATTTGGAGCCAAAACCAGCCCCCACCTCCTGATAGGAGACATCACAAATGACCTCTAAGACATACACCAATATCCACAAAAGCCTGCCTACTGGTCTCAGGCAAAGTCTTGACTTCATCTAAAATCCCCTGCAAAGCCTGATTCCTCCTTCACTCATTTTCCAGAGGCTCCTGTTCCTGACCCCGTGTGCCCTCCAGAACACTGGGGGCAGGGAGTTCTTTCCCTAAATTCAACTCCACTCCCTGGTATTATCTCAGGTTTCCACTCTTCCGGGCCTGTGTGCATCTGCATGGACTCAAGCAAGATTCGTCCAGCAATTTATTTCTCTAGCGTGTCCCTGATTACCACCAGCTGGGCACTTCAGAGTGGGGGACGCATAAGGACAGCCCAATGTAGGCAGCTATATTTACAACCTGGAACAACTGACAGAAATGCAAATTGGAAATCTGCTTGGTACTGGAGGGAGTCAGAAAAAGTGAGAGTCACAAAACATGTATCTGGATTTGGGATTTCATTTCAAGTATACCTGCTAAATCTGAGAATATCGACTGGTGCAGAAGGGCATAAATTAGCAATAATCTTCCTTCCAATTTCTGAAATTACCCAAGACCATCCAGATTGCCACACAATCTTAGAGGAATTTTCTAAGCATGTATTTTCAAGAAAATGCTGTGAAAATCAGTTTTACATCTTTTTCTCTCTCACTTAACAATTATAAAACATGTTCCCATATCAATGCATATTGCCCCAATTCTTTTTTTGCATAATATTCCATTATATGAGTGTCCCATTCTTTATTAGTTAGCCCTCTATTGATCAATTTTTGTTATTGTTTCCATTTTGATTATGAAAAATGACACTATAAATATGCTTAGACATTTATAAGTCCACACACATTTATATTGCTGGAGTAAGTCCCTAGAGTCGGAATTTCTAGGTCAAAAGGGAGACATATTGTAGTCATTGCTTTTTATTGGCACCATTTTATACTCCAAAGATTTTGGGTTGATTCGCAAACCACTAAGACTGTATGAGATGAGCACTCTTGATTTCCTGATCTACTACTAGCCAAAGATATGATCAAAATTTCATTTTAATTTAAAATTGAAGAGAACAAAAATAAGATATCGTAAAAGAGTAACCAATTGAAAAACCTGATGAAATGGAAAATACTTTGAAAGATTAAAATTACCAAAACAGTCTGAGAAAACATAAACTGAAATCCTAAATATGTTAAGTGAATTGATTCATAATTAATAACCTTCCCACACAGAAAACTACTGGTTAAGATAGTTTTACTGCTATAGTCTATCAAATATTTAAGGAAGAACTAATATCAATCTTTCATATAATCTTCTAGAAAATTGAGGAGAGGGGAACACTGCCCAATTCATCTTATCAGGCCAGAATTATCTTGATATGAAAGACATCACAAGAAAATAAACATACAAACCTATATTCCTCATGAACATAGATGCAAAAATCTTTAATAAAGTATTAGAAAATCAAATCCACCAATAAGTCAAGAGAATAATGTGCCATAACAAGTGATAATTTTATTCCAGAAATGCAATGTCAGTTCAACACTAGGAGATTAAACAATACAATTCACCATGTTAACAGACTTAAAGAGAAAAACCACATGATCACTTCAATAAGAGAAGAAAAGGCATCTGACAAAAAGCAACATCTATTGGTGAAAAACTCTGATCAAACCAGGAACTAAAGTGATTTTCCTCAAACTGGTAAATAGCATTGACCAAAAACCCCAGTGTTAACATAAAACCCAATGATGAAAGACCCAATCTTTCCCTCTACGACTGAGAACAAGGCAAGGATATCTGTTCTCACCTCTTCTAGTCAACATTATATTGGAAATCCT